AAAGGAGTGGAGGAGAGAGAGCTGTCACTTCAGGATGGCTGAGCAGTGAGGGGAGAGAGAGGCGCTCGGCCAGGATCTGACAGCTGGTGCCTCTCTCTCTCTCCTCACCGCTCAGCCATCCTGAAGTGACAGCGCTCCCTCCTCCACCCCCGCCAGGTTCAGCGCTTAGTTTCTCTCCGGATCCTCGCTGCCTCTGCCCATACAGGCGGGGGAGAGCAGCGGGGATCCATAGAGAAGCAGCACGCTTTGCCGCTCCTCTGTGCATGGCCGAGTGGCTCAGGATGTAGAGTGGAGGATCGGTAAATATGTGTGCAGCACAAACACTGGAGTGATCAAGTGATCACTTCAGTGTTTGTAAACAACTGGGGATACATAGTACTATGTGTCCCCAGTTACGAATGCGCAGGAACTTCTTTACATAACTTCCTGTTCATTCATGAGTTTCTGAATGGGTAAAGCACTCACTATAGAGACTTCTACCCCTTGATAACTGGACGATAGTAAATATTTTACTATCACCAGTTTCTGAATGAATGGGAAGCCTCTGTACTCAGTGCTTTCCATTTAGAACAGAGGTTGCAGAAAAAGAGATTGAGCACACTGTGTCCTCAATTTCTTTTTCTATTTCAAAAGGGAAATGTCAGGGGTATGTTTAGACACCTGATATTTTCCTGAAGCCCCCGCCAACTGTAAAAAAATAAAATAAATAAATACAAAAAAATTTAAAAAACAACACATCCTGGGGACGGGGCCCATGGCGTCATATGACGCTGCACGTGCAGGGCGTTGGGTGACGTCACACGCCTGTTGGGGGGCACAATTTTTTCATTCTTGCCTTGGTCACAAAATGAACTAGCTTGGACTCTGCCTCTATCTGTGGTGAAACTATAAATTCCATCATGCATCTGCCCCCAGGAGTCATGTCTGTGGCTGTCAGAGTCTTGCAATGGCTCATGGGATTTGTAGTTGCACCACAGCTGGAGGACCAAAGGTTGCCCACCCCTGTGGAAAATGGTAGAACCTGGAGATGGCACAATCACCAAAAATAATTCTTAGCTGGAAGATACAAGGTGGCGGCAATCACGATGTCAGTGGAACATTCTGCTGACATAGTGATTGCTTGCATCTAAAATTACCTTCCCAGGGTGTCAGAGATGCTAGGTACACCATATTATTTATTCTTATATTTAAATGTTCTACAATGTAGTGATCACTAGGGATGCACCGATACCACTTTTTTTAAGACCGAGTGCGAGTACCGATACTTATAAAAAAGTACTCACAGATACCAATTACCGATACTTTTTCTTAAAGGGACAAGTCACATTTTTTCTAAAGCAATACAAACTAATGCTTTAAGGTCACTTTCTTAATATTATGATCCATGAGATGACGAGGGAGCATGACACCGGCTTCCCGGCCAATCAGAATGCCGGGCGCTGCGTCATTACACGGTGCCCAGCTTCCGGATTTGCTAGCTTCCTGACCAATCGGGAAGCCGGGCAGCGCGTCATTGCACGCTACCCGGCTTCCTGATTGGCGGAGAAGTCGGCTCCATGCTCTCTCATCACAAGTGACGAAAGAGCATGGAGCCGTTTCCTGGCCAATCAGGAAACCGGGCAGCGTGTAATGATGCGCTGCCCGGCTTCCTGATACAGGAAGTACTCGTGCTAGGTATCGGAGCATTTGGGCGAGTACGAGTACTCACCCAAATACTCGGTATCGGCTCCGATACTAGTATCGGTGCATCCCTAGTGATCACCCTAAAGTACCACAAATTGAAGGTATAATTATTTTTAGCAGGGGTTCCTTAAGACCTGAAAAATATTTCAAGGGTTTCTCCGGGGCAGAAGGTTGAGAAGGACTACTCTATATTATTACCTGTTGCTCCTCCATCAGCAGCTACATAAAAGGTTGGGTGATGACGGGAGGAGAAGAGGAGCTGGGCCAGCAAAGAGAGCAATAAGACACTCCCAAAAGAGGTGAAGGCTAGGGTGTGCAGAGGGAGGGGGCTGTGCTAGGGAAATGACACTTCCAAAAAAAGCTACATTTGCTAGTAAGTTCCGAGGAACATTGCAAGTAAGTAAAAAAAGTAATTAGTGGAAAGGTACTTGCTAGTTTTTAAAGCTGAGTATAGGCTTAGTATGGCTGCAGAGGCGGCTTTGGGCCTTTTGCAGTGTGTCCAAAAACAGGAAATGTTTGCTACATTCCAAAGCAAGCATATGTTTCTAGATGGTCACCTAGGGGCTCGTAGGTGTAACACAGTCATTTAACTTCAGCTACCCTCATGAGCAAAGCCCCAATTAAAGTCCCAGTGATGTCATATTTTTTAAGTGCAAACTATGCAACAGTGAAGGCAGATGGCTCAGTCAACCCAAAACATTGTTTGGCAGATCGAGTTAAACCAGTTGACAGTTTCTTCTATCCCATGAGGACTCTGTTGGTGAGATATCTGTGCCGAGTCTCAGGAGATATCTGTGCCGAGTCTCAGGTCTGCACTCTGTAATTCTCTGGACTACAAATCCCAGAGACGTCAAGCTTATCTCAAGGATGAGCCCAGCTGTAAAGCATGGCAAAACTTTAATTTCTATTAGTTGTCTGTTCTTGCAGTAAACTTCAAGGAAACTGACCCAGTAGCATTAAAAGTACTTTACTTGGCGAAAATGCTGCATGTACAAACTTAGTTACAGGAAAAGCAAACAAATACATAAACAAGACTGGCTGCTACAAACATTCACATGCACCCACTACACTATCTTCTAGTACATGTATAATTTCTAGGAGGGGAAACACTGAAAGTGTACTTAGCTTAGGCTGCAGCCTCCAATAAATTCCGTGATGAGCAGGACTTGGCCTAGGAAGAATGGCTTCTCATTGCAGTATCCTGGTCTTGAAGCAAGTCCTCTCGTCTTGTGAAGCGCCCTCGTACTGTCCCCTCCTGTGAAGCCCTGGTCTTGTGAAGTGCTGGGCTGGTGAACTGCTGTGTTACCTTTCAGCTACTGGCTTTTTATTGAGAAAACTGGCCTAAAACAATGGAATCGACGCCCCCTTTCTAAAATGCAATACAATGCATTTCACGTACCCACCTCTAGGTGGCAGCGTTGTACCATAAATTGCCATCAGTAGTCAAGATTTGATTTGAGTCTTGTCCAGGCTAGGCGTGACTATTTACGATCACCATCCCATTGTGATACAAATCAATACAGGACAAGCTACACCATTGTGTAAAACCAGTTTGGCCTGTATTGTATGCCATTTCCATTGTATGAACCAAGTTTCTATCAACAAACAAACAAAACCTCCGTCTCTCTTGCAAATCTATGTGTCTGAAAAAGTCCACTAAGATATATCGCAACACACACTCACAGATGAAGTTCCTTCCTGGTGCTCCCATCCAGGTTCTAACCTCACGCCTTGTGGGTAACACCTCCAGAAAGCCTGTGCGGGGGAGGGAGAAGCAGCACAAGGCGCTAATCAGTTGTGCTGCAGTACAATAAACCATGTTGATAGTTGGAGAGAGCAGAATGACAGAGAGATGAGCTCATCGGTCTGCTGCTTCTCCTTTTACTGTCCAATCACAGGCTGGAGGAGGGACAAGACCTGTATGTTTTGCTGAACTGCTGCAGAAAAAAAACAGGTCTCCTTCCTTGCCAGACAGGACTAGGCCGTGTGGCAGCGGGGTGTAAATCTCAGGACTGGATAGATAGAACCACAAATCCTTTGGCAGGTAAAACAGCTCATCTTTGTATTTAGCTTTGTGTCTGCAGTCGCCCTCTAGTGGATTCTTCAGGTATATACACAGAATCCACATATGTCAGGGACCCAGAATCTTGGCTGACCATCCATCCAACCTTGACAAGGGTGTGGCTACCAATCAGTTGAATGTTTATCAGATGCGCCCCCTTGCCTGTCAAAGATGGTTAGTGAAGCGTGGTCACTGGCCTGTTGAATATTTGTTCCAGTATAAAATAGTTCACCAAGCATATTTTACGCCGGCTAGACTTGCTGTCATGCGACCTGCAGTGTTGTCTAAATGCTGGAGATGCCCTTATGAGCCCGCTGGCCTGTTACATGTGCTGTGGTCTTGTCCTGAGCTACTGGACTATTGGAGGGGGTGGTTGTGGAGGTATCGGGTGTGCCCGTCCCTGTAGAGCCAGGGGTGTGTTTCCTGGATTGGTCTAGTTGATGGACTGGCTCCTTCTGTGGTGTCCCGTACCCTCCTTACCTACCTACTATTCTATGCTAGGAAGCTCATTTTTGAATTGGAGGAAGCCGGTGGCACCTACATTGGGGGCTTGGACGTCACTGATCAATGCTTCCTTACCATTCCATAAAGCAGCTTATGCTAGTAGAGGTTGTCCCTTGAAATGTGAAAAAATATGGTTATCGTTGCTCCAGTCTGATCGTACGGTAGTTGCCTAATTGTATATACTTTGAGTATCTGCCCCTAAGGTCTCTGCACACCACAGGTACCTAGCCTCTACTCCTTGCTCATGACAGAGCTTCACAGTGTGGGAATCTCAGTCCTGATCCTAAAGGTAGCTGCTCAGATTTATATTTCATATATGTATACTGCATAGATATCTACTCAGATAGAGTATGTTGGACTCATATGGACATTATCTGCGCCTGTGTGTTGGGGGGAGGATTGTTGACCGGAATGTGTTGGGAATAATTTGGGGTGTAATGGCTTTCAATTTTCTCCTTTGGGATTGGCTCACCCTGCACCCTGAATAATTGTACCTCTTAACTTGTACTGTACAGTTACGACACTATGTTAGTGTATTGTTTTGGTATATTGTAAAAGGAATAAAAAGATTTTTCAAACAAAAAAAGTCACATTATTGTGAAATAGCAGAAACCATGAAGATCAGTTTATACTGAAACACTTTCAGATGCCATTTTGGAAACAAAGCCAGTGGTGATGGCAGGAAGCCAATTGAAGGGTGAACACTGGCCTAACTTTTAATATGGTGGCTGGTAGTGGGGGAGACAGCTACTCTTCAAAAAGTCAATCTTTATTCGTATCAAGTCAGGAGGTATCTGGTGGCATGACGAGGGTCTCTCGGGGAAGGGCCCGAACTAGGAAAGGGTGGCACCTCAAATTGACACCGAAGACTCCCAGGAAGTCAGGCAGAACACCCGGCGAGGGCGGGGAGAAGGAGAAATCCCTCAGGAGGTGAGAGAGGAAATAAAATATCTCCATACGGGCCAACGATTCACCAATACAGAGCCGAGCGCCCATACTGAACGGCAGGAGGGAGCGCGAGGTGGGGTTGCCTTCTGAATGGGACAGGAATCGATCTGAAAATAAAAAAGGTAACAGAATATCAGAATAATAACAAAGACAGAAGGAGGTGCAGTGACACAGAATTGGCAGAACCACATGTTTTGAAAGTGTTGTCACCCTTGTTAAGGAGACCCTGTCACCAGGCCAATTGTTTTTAACATAAATCTTCCATAAGATTATACATGCGTGTGCATTTCATGTAGTTTATGCATGTTATTTACCTGTAAAAGTTGTCCTTGTGTAGTCCTGACACGGCTGCTGGTCATTTTGGATGTAATGTCAGCAGCCCCCATAGACTCAGGGCTGTCACTCAATAGCAGGGGTCCCCAAACTTTCTAAACAATGGATCAGTTAATTGTCCTGAAGAGTTCAAGGGGGACAGATTGTCACCAGTGGGAGTAAATGCCCCAGGCCCAATGGTCAGTGGAAGTATAATATGCCCCGGCGCCTGTGGTTAGTGGTGAGAGCGATAGCGCACCATCGTTGGTGTCAGGCAAATAAATACCCCTTTATTGGGGTCTGTGGGAGAAAAGGTGCCCCATTGTTGGTGTCAGTGAAAGGAATAGTGTCCCTTTGTTGTTGTTAGTGGGAGGAATAGTGTCCCTTTGTTGGTGTTAGTGGGAGGAATAGTGTCCCTTTGTTGGTGTTAGTGGGAGGAATAGTGTCCCTTTGTTGGTGTTAGTGGGAGGAATTGGGCCACATTGTCGTTGCTGTCAGTGGGAGGAACAGTAACCCATCATTGGTGTCAGTAGGAGGGATAGCGCCACATTGTTGGTGTCATTGTGCCCTCTCTTTAATGTCAGGTAGGGAAAATGTGCCCCATCATTGGTGTCAACGGGAAAAATATATATTATTTTAAATTATGCCACACATTGGTGTCATTGGGAGGAATAGTGTGCCAAGGAAGATGCAAGCAAAGGGCCACATCCAGCCCCCAGGCGGCAGCATGGAGAGAACAGCTCTATTATTTTCTCCTTTGCTCTTTTGAGTTTGTGTGAACAATAAATGGTGACGGGCATACATACCGGGGCAAAACTGTTCAGGATTCTCCCAGATGGTTTTATCATGATGAGCAGCAAAGATATTCGGAATGAGAGTAGTCCCTTTGGGAATAGTGTAACCTGCCACACTGAACAGAATGAGATGGTGTTAGAGTCAAAAAAATTAGACATACATAAAAATTAGATATAGACACACACACAGTATATTAATGTGTAAAAGGGAATTCGAATGGGATGTGTTTTCAGTAAGCCTGTTATAAATCTGGTCAATATGAAGGGAGTAGGGATGCACCGATACCGATACTAGTATCGGTGCCGATGCAGAGTATTTGGTCGCGTACTCGTACTCGCCCAAATGCTCCGATGCCTAGCCTGATACTTCCTGTATCAGGAAGCCTGGCAGCGCGTCATTACACGCTGCCCGGCTTCCTGATTGGCCGGGAAGCCGGCTCCATGCGACGAGGGAGCATGGAGCTGGCTTCTCGGCCAATCATGAAGCCAGACAGCGTGTAATGACTCGGTGCCTGGCTTCCTGATTGGCCACCTCAATGCGAGGGAGCATGGAGCCGGCTTCCCAGCCAATCAGGAAGCCGGGCAGCGTGTAATGACTCGGTGCCCGGCTTCCTGATTGGCCACCTCAATGCGAGGGAGCATGGAGACGGCTTTGGAGCACATTTAGAGAGGGAGGTCACCTTCACTGAAACCCCTTTGTGAAAATGATCATTGGATCCAGATATGTGGGAAGCTGAAGTTAAAAGCAAATCACAACATTTCCTGTCATGTGTGTTCCCTTCTTCCTCCTGAGCCATCCCTATTGATCCACCAATTAAATGCGTTTTGTAGGAAGCTCTTCAGTGGACGAGGACGGATAGTCCAATCTTTTGGGGGGCCTTTTTTCTGAACGCGCTGTTGGCAGGGGTCTCCTCAGGTGTCTCCGGAAGCATCTCTAAAGTATTGGAAGAGTGAGAGCGCCACAACGATTGATTGAGTGCAGCAAATTTATTTTAAAATAAAAAATGAACTAAAATTAGAAATCCAACATGTTTCATGGGGCACCCTGAATCGGGCTTCATCTGGGCTTGTGTGCTTGTACTGAAATCACATCTGTATTGGACTGCAGTTGTGTAGAGAGAAAGGATTGCACAAGTTGAGGCTCACAACAGGAAAGAAGAGTTTAAAATCCATTCTCTCTACACAACTGCAGTCCAGATCGGATATCAATATTGGCATAAAAGCCCTAATGAAGGGGGAGTTGTGACAAGCCCTGATGAAGGGGGAGTTGTGACATGTTGGATTCTACTTTTAGATTGTATTATTTTAAAAAAAACAAAAAACATGCTGGACTTGTATTCTTGTGGCACTCTCGCTCTGCCAATACTCTATTGGTCAGTGATGCTGTCCAGCAAATTAAAGGGTCAGTAGGAAGATGTGGGAGCATGGGGAAGGGCTATCATTTGCCTATAATTTGTGACCGCCAAAATAAAGGTGTTATGAATAAAGTGTATGTATAGAGCAGGGGAGGGGAAAACCCCTGCAGGGTCATTTTTTGCTGTCTGTGTACCACTGGGGAAATTTCCCTTCACTTCCTGCCACAGATATGCAACAGGAAGTTAGAGGAAATCACCTAAAGTTAAGGAAAGCCCTCTCTTTTACTGTTGCCCCCAGAACAGGTGTCCCCATTGGAAGATTTCCCCTTACCTATTGTTCTGGGGACAGCTCTAAAATTTTCCCTGACTTTCTTCCTCGGAAACAATGGTCAACAATACAAATTAAGGGATTAATCTCCCCAATGGGGACAGAGATAGGTAATAAAAACTTGACACAGGGTTTAACCCTTCCATAGTCTATACAAAAAAAAGAAAAAGGTTTTGCCTAGAGATATACTTAAATAGGATTTACCTATAAAAGCCTCTCTTGTGTAGACATCCAAAAGCCCTGAAACTGATGCTGGGTGCCACCATTTTGGATGTGATGCCAGCAGCCCCAGAATCAGAACTTTTTACTTGATTTGGTAAAAGAGAACAGTACACAACTTTTTGAGGAAGCCCAGTATGGTTGGAAACTACCGACCTGCCAGGACATCACTGTCATTTCTCACCTGGTGTCCCTGGTGGCAGAATGTGGTATTGCAAGGGGAACCGTCGGCCTCATTCTAAGGATCTCTGAGGTGGTGGCGCTGAGATATGGTAAGCTGTTACGCTCTGCGTATGCGGGGTATCGGTCAGGCCCCACTGCTTCTATGATCTCTTTGTGAATTTTCTCCTGAGCCTGTAAGTGAAGAGAGTCCATTCAGCACAAGTCTAACCAATGGCATCATCGCTGGATGGAGTATAACTGATACAAACCAACATTTCAGTGCCGTTTCCCCGAACACAGTTACCCCACCTACAACCCATTTCAGACCCGTCCAGTGACTGGGTGATCCTGCCCAAACCCCACCGACTTACCAGAGTGGCCCATCCAAGCCCCGCCTCTTTTGCAGGGACCACCCACTTGCGGACCCCCAGCACCATAATGAATGCTTTACTGAGTTTGTGCAGCAACTCAAATAAGGGTGACAGTGTGATCCCGGGACACGGCATCATCGGGACTGTCCCAGCAAATCCAATAAAGTCAAGTGTTTGAGCTGCAAAATATCTAATCCCCATGGTGACGGCATGTATAAGTTATCTCTCTACCATGGTGTTTGTATATTTTCTGCGGGTCAAACACCTGACTGTCTCTGGGCATCAAAGGCAACCACCACGTACGTTCCATTTGCCAGAATTTGACCAAGTATCATCCTCTTGCACCCCTGCTGTACAGTGAAGCTCTGATTGGGATCGGTTTGTCAGGGTATTTCTATATAAAATTACAAAAACTGATGAACTATGACTTGTACAGAAACCAAATCAAACTTTTCTGTGCAAGGGTCCAGAAGTCTGTGCTGGACAGATAAGTTAATCAACCAAAATAGCCTATTGTGTACAAATTAAGCAAGACACAAACAATTCCCTTGAGAAACCAGCTATTGTACTAACCAACTAAATTCAAAGAGATAAACATTGCAAATGAAGTCTAAGATTTGAGTAACCATGGAATCACAATTGACAATGCTGAAAGACCTTTAAGACTTCAAGGTCAGTAAATAAAAGAAATTAAACAAGAAAGACCCGGATTAAGGATATCTTTGCCCCATATGAAAAAACACTGTCTATTAAATCTAAGTATAATTCAGACACCACCCTATAATTAATATTTCACCAAGATTTGATACCACTCAATCACAACAGGTTGAAGCAGCAGTTTGCTTAGAGTTCCGCTTTAAATAAAAAGGAAGAAATACAACATCAGCAACATTTGAAGGACTTATAGACAAACTCCACAGGGGAACTTTTTACATTTTTGTGTCAATGTGGGAAAATGGGGGACATGAGCGTGATTTCATATGGGATATCTCTCATATAAAAGATATGTCTACTAAATTAGCAACAGTTCATGGACTGCATTTTGTGGGTCTCACCTCAGGGTAATGGAGAAGGAAGGCCACGGTCCAGGTAAGTATGGAGGCCGTGGTTTCTGTCCCTCCAATGAGTAGATCTACCGAAGCCATGTGAAGGTGTTCTTCTGTCAGCTGGGAGGCGTCACCGTCATCCACCTTGCACTTCTGTTTTAGAAAGTGGATCATTTCATCCAAAATGTCTTCCTGGGACTCTTCTGTGGGGGGATCACACTGATGGGGAGACGGACAGGTTACCACATTGGTGGAGTTTGTTACATGGAGATGAAACTTGTACAGGATTCATATTCCTTGCACACCTTATGTTTCTCCATGTGACTCTTCACAAAGCTGTTTCTTGTCTCTACAGCCTGCAAGAGATTGTTTAAGGCTCCATTTGGGAGTTTCTGATGAGGAGGAAAAAATATAAATAAATTTTTTACATATTCTCCGGAAAGCGCCTTCCAAAGTCACCCTGTAGGAAAAGAAAGAGATATTCAACTATTTCCTATCTGTAGCACAGGGACCGACTCATAGCTCCCTTCTGTCTGTGTCACCCTGCAGGAGGAGGGACCGACTCATAGCTCCCTTCTGTCTGTGTCCCCCTGCAGGAGGAGGGACCGACTCATAGCTCCCTTCTGTCTGGGCCACCCTGCAGGAGGAAGGGCAGACTCATAGCTCCCTTCTGTATGTGTCACCCTAGAGGAGGATGACAGACTCATAGCTCCCTTCTGTCTGTGTCACCCTGCAGAAGGAGGGACAGACTCATAGCTCTCTTCTGTCTGTGTCACCTTGCAGGAGGAGGACAGACTTATAACTCCCTTCTGTCTGTGCCACCCTGCAGGAGGAGGACAGACCCATAGCTCCCTTCTGTCTGTCACCCTGCAGGAGGAGGGACAGACCCACAGCTCCCTTCTGTCTATGTCACCCTGCAGGAGGAGGGACAGACTCAAAACTCCCTTCTGTCTGTGTCACCCTGCAGGAGTATGAAAAGACTTCTGTCTGGGCCACCCTGCAGGAGGAAGGGCAGACTCATAGCTCCCTTATGTATGTGTCACCCTAGAGGAGGATGACAGACTCATAGCTCCCTTCTGTCTGTGTCACCCTGCAGGAGTATGAAAAGACTTATAGCTCCCTTCTGTCTGTGTCACACTGCAGGAGGAGGGACAGACCGATAGCTCTCTTCTGTCTGGGTCACCCTGCAGGAGGAGGACAGACTCATGGTTCCCTTCTTTCTGTGTTACCCTACAGGAGGCAGGACAGGCCGATAGCTCTCTTCTGTCTGTGCCACCCTGCAGGAGGAGGACAGACTCATAAAATGCATCTTGTTCATGTCTATCTTATATAGCTGTATTTATCTCTCACCCTGAGAATTGGGACAATGTCCAACACATTGACAGCTGGAGCCTCAAATAGTTTCACAATGTTAGATACACATTTATGGATTTCCTGAAACGCGGGGTCTGAGAGCTCATACTGAAAGAGAAGAAAGCAAGAAATGAATAGTCACACCTGCTATGCATGTAACATAAAATAAAATTCACCTTCTATAACACATCAGAATTCTATTTTTTATCTATTACTAATGTTGAGTTGAGTCGTTGTCAGGTACCAAGTCAAAGTCTTTGTAGAAAAATGACAACACTTTCTACTACCAAAGCTGCATATTATGGGGTCCACAATCCTGGAACATACAGGAACACATACAAGATTGACGATTTGATTCTTTAAATGTTCTTATATTTAGTATGTTTTAAAGCCTCTTCATTGCTGCCTATATACAGATAAGTTAGAGCGGAGGCCTCCTTTAAAGTATTTTCAGGAAGAGAAAAGATCACACAATCACCAGTGAAAGATTGACCTTTTTAATGGCACTCCTCTATTTCCCCATGATTATCTTTTACTTGGGGCTGCTATCAAGAGTCATTACTGGCTAACACTCCCCCGTCCCCAGCAAAGGAAGCAGTTCACCCTCTGCAAATTAAACTTACACTTGTTCCAAAAGTCAACGCTGCGATCACCCTACACGTGCGCAAGGAGAACTCTTTAGCTACGTCCACTGGATCCCCATGTCGCTGGTGGAAGTCCTGGAGGCAAAGAAAAATGACAGTCAGTTGATATCCCAAGCCTATGACTCGCACTCATTGCTCTATAACATATTTTCCCCCGCTCTATAGTGTCTTCCTACCACAAGAACTCAGTTCACACAAAAGGGATATTTCACTCTTAGGTGGGGTTTGGTGGGCCCTGGCTTCTTTCAAGCCGTACATACTCCATCAGGGAGATTTCCAACCATAATTTCTCGACTCTGTTTCTATCCAACTGGGACTTCTTAGCCACCTTTACGTATTCCAGCTACCAAAGATATGGGAACCTTAGGGCTGGGGGGCAAAGACACCCATAGGGCCCCCCACCGTAGTGAGTCATTTCTGCAAGATAAAAAAGTGTAGCATGCAAAGCGTGCCATGGTCCCTCATTGATTGGTGGGTATGGTAAAAAGTGGGTCTTCTTTAAAGGACATGGTTTATTGTAATGTACTTTTTCACATCTTGCACGGTCATCTTCCTTCTCATCCCTTTCAGTTCTTGGCATTTGGTCACCTGGTATCTTAAATGGAAGTTGGCGATGGAAGACTTCCCTCTGCCAGATGCTGTGATTTCAGGTCCGAACTGGAAGCAGATAGTTTTAGCCAGTATATGTGGGCCCTGCTCTGATCAATGTCTGAGTGGTGAGGTATCTCCACTCAGGGCCAACAGCTCAACATAGCTTTCTAATAGTGGCCAATAGGGCTGATGCTTTCTTGCCCCTAGCACAGCCTTCCTGTGGAACTTTTGTATTATTTGCCCTCATCCATGACCCCGTTGGGGATTTTTTTTCCTGTCCCTGTCCCTGTCCCTGTGACACACATACTAAAACTGGAGGTGTAGACTTCACCAGGACAGGAAGACACAGGCGCAATAAAAATATTGTCAGTTTTTACTCTTCATCTCAAAAAATGAATTTTTGCTTTTGTCACCATTGGGGAGATTTCCCATCACTTACAGTCTTGACAGGAATTCAGTAGAAATCTTCCCAACTGGCAATAAAAACATGACCTAAACCTCTCCTGCTCGATCCAAAGTAAGCATTACTGGCTGGAGTTGGGCTTTAAAAGTGGCCATAAACTAGAATTCTGGCTCCTGGACTGTCTCATTGTTCCAAAGCATCAAGATCACTTGAAGAGGTTCAGCATCATCCAAGATACTTGGATGGCAAAAGGTGGCAGCTTCCATCTAAGGCTTCCTAGATAATTGCAAATATACTTGAAGAACAGCGCTAGCATTCGCTCGCCACAAACCATCACCTGACACAGCATCCTGGCCTCCTCTTCCAGCAGATTGTCCAGGCCCCGGCGAACTCTTTTCTGTAGGGCCAGGTGCGTGAGACGTCTCTGTACCTTCCAGACGGCGGTGTAGTCCCCCAGCGACAAATCCTTCCCGCCATAAGATATCAGGTCACCTGAATCACAGACAGGACACATAGTGTATTGTATGTATGGCGTCAGCAGCAGCAGCCAGGAGCTCAGCTACTTCCAACATCTGGACCATGTGGGATTTTTAGTTTACTTGTAGACCAATGCAGCTCCGAGTTATTAATTTTGCCACTCCTCAGCACCTCAGCAAGGTGAAAAGAGAGGAAGCCCTGGGTAAGGCGAGTTGTCACTCTCTTTCTCCACCCAATGTGACAACCTCCCTAGTGGTACCCTTTTCCCATCCTCGGGCTCCCATAGAAGCCACATGGGCTGCTATAACTATAGTTATGCCACTTCCCCAGAGAGAGACATTTGGCTAGAGAGAAGATATAGGGTGTCAAGTGAGTAAACCCTGAAAGTTACCATTAAGTGATCTTTAGATTGAAGAACCGTGGAGCTGATAAGGGCACAGAGGTTAGTCAGGTTTAGATACCACTACCCGGAACCCCATGCCACCAAATATTATTTTCTGAAGATGTCTTTGTTTACCGGAACTGTGCTTGGCTAAACAGTCAGGTGACAGAAGCAAGCTTATATAATAAATGTACCTACCAATGTAGCTTTTGGGTCGTCCAGCAAAATCGGCCCAGTTCTTGACGAGAGCTTCGCGGATTAACTCTGCACTGTTCAACACAACAATATCTGTTTAGAGAAAAGAACAAAACAGTCACGAAGGGTGCATTAAAAGATACTGTATGTAGATGCCATTATCTGAGCAGTTTAGGGCCCTTTCACACCATATGTCTTAGGATGTGCTGGGCAGCCTTGACCAACACAGTCCTAACACATGGTCAAGCTGAAAATGTTCTCAGCCTGAAAAATAAAACTAATGCAACCACCACATGGTAAAATGCTTTTTAAAGGAAAACTGAATTTAAAAAAACATAACCCTATGAATATCTCCCAACACTTTGCATGTTATATATACCCCGACCCCCCCTACATACCTGAGATCTTTTAGCAACCCGTACTTGGAGGTGCAGCCTATGCCAGGTCAGATGTTGCTCCCAGCTCACTCTAGGTTGGTGAGGCCATGAGTTAATAATAGGCGCATACTTTTTTCCGTGCCCTATACTGCATGGCTGATCTGAGGGATTTAGAGGGGGTATACATAACATGAGGAGGGCTGGGGGATTAGGCTTAAGTATTCTGAAAACACTGTTATCATTTAAACCTTTAACTCTTGTAGAGGTGTTACATAGTATTAGCCAGCATTAGCCATCATGTGCTATTTTTTACTATGGATTATGGGCTGTACTCAGTACTGCTCACATGCACCGCAAAAAAATGCTAGCACGGTGGTCAACCTTTGATATGGGGCCAGTAAAAAAACTTCTTACACTTAACCAACTAATTGAATAAGCTTCAAAAGTTACAAATTCAATCCCAAACTAAGTGCAATAATTGGCAAGATTTACACAAACCCTTGCATGCCTACCTTGTCCCCAGAAGCTCAGTCGGAAAATGGGGCCGTATTTCTGGGAAAGTTGCAGGAAGTGGCGAGGTAGATCTGAGCGTCCTAGATCAAACATATTACCCAGGAACGGTAGAGAAGTGGGACCCGGGGGGTACTTTCTGCGAGTCTGAGGTGATCCTCGGATTCTCCATGGTGAACATCCTAAGTACAGACAGATCAGGAGGAGGAGAGGAGGCAGCAGCAGCAACAGGACCATAGTGACAAATAGAAACTGAGGATTGATGGAGTATTTGTAGAGGAGGGATGGGTATAACCTTGGGAAGACTGAGAACTGCAGAAACAAAGGGAGGAGTTTTGATGACTGACAGATGAGTGCTGATGGAACACAGCTCAAAGTTAGAGAGAGACATATGACTACAGGACCATGAAAGGATTAACAATATAGTTACACGATTCACTTTGTAATGTCCTTTTAATGACTGGTTATTAGGAGTGGGATAGAACTTATGGAAATTCAATATAGAAATACAGGTTTATTTTTAGTTTTTGACCATAGATACCCTCTAGGCCCTTGGTTCTCAATTGGTGGGTCGTGACCCAAAAATGGGTCGCAACACCGTGTTCAGTGGGTCACTGCACGCCTTCCACTGTAGTAGGTGAGAAGGTACCCTGCCTCCCCCTAGCGCAGCACTTAGTTCTCCCGCCAAGCAGCCATGCCAAATATGCTGCCCGGCACCGAGGGTCAGCTTGAGGTGGGATGGGAGTATGGCCGTGAGGGAGCTCTATCCATATGTGCATTGCTTACAGCTCCCTCGCGTGTCCTGTAGAGGTGCCTGGGCCGCAGTGACGTCACATTCTTGCTCCCGCCACCTCTACAGGTTGCGCAAGAGATCTGTACAAGCAATGCACAATTGGATGGAGCTACGTCACAGCAGAGCAGCCCACACTGAACCCAGGCTGAGGATTCACTCCAGTTCTTGTAAGGTAGTGGGACTGGGTGGATCTTAAAAAATATAAAGAAAAATAAAAATATTTTTGGAGTGTGTATGTGTGTGTGTGAGAGAATGTCTGTGGTTGTGTGTGTCTGTCAGTGTTTCTGAGGGACCGTTCACACTAGTACAGTGCGTTAATCTCATAGTATTGTGCGATTCACGCACTGTACCAAGCAATCGCTGCTACTGTGAATTCTGGTGTGGGAGGTGTGTTGCGTTGCCATTCATTTGAATGGTACCCCAAATGCACCTCCCACCCACAATTCGCATGGTACCCTAATGCCGTGTGTTCCATTGCAGTGCAGACATTACAGACTTGGGTCGCGACTTAATGACCGAGGACAAATGTGGGTCCTGAGGTTACACAGGTTGAGAACCACTGCATTAGGACAACCAAATGTCAACCAGTTAGGGTTTAGATCTGGTATATCCAAGGAGCCGTTGTCTAAAAGAACACAAACTTTCATCAATCAATCACAGATAATTTATCCTATGTTGATGGGTTCTTAATCTCTGATCTATCCCTAATAAGAGTATCCATCTTCCTTCTTTTTCTCCATATCTTTTATACAAATACAAGTCACTGTAAATTTAAAGTGTCAGTCCGCCCAAATGTGATGGAGCCTGGCAAGTTGAGTGAGCCCCTGGCTTCTTACATCTCTTGCATATTCCAACTGTGAGATCTCTCTTCAATAATTCCAGACTGTTCCTGTCCATCTGAGGTTGTTGGGCGTCCCCATCACACTTTTGGTGTTCCTCACGTTACACTCTCCATAATAAAAAAAAAATGCTTAAATCCGGCAAGGTTGAGGGGAGTCCTGTTTAATGGACACAACAGGTATACAAACCTTATCAATAGGATCCCCAACAGACCTCCCCAGCATTTACCATTTCCTGAAATATTAGTTTAGGGTGGACTGACCCTTTAATGAACGTAGGTGTGCCAGGCATATATGCTCATTGAGTTACTGATGCGGCTGCAAAAACAGCCAGTGAATAGTTCGTTCAGAAACAAAACAACGCTAGTTTAAAAGCACGGACTGCGAAGAGGGGACCCTGACCTTCTCACACAATATCTTTCCATCTGATAGATGAGGGAGCAGTGTGACAGGAGGGCCTTGCCATCAATAACACTTTCATTTCCAAAATAAGTCAAGGAGAGATGGGGCAACAGATAGCAGCACCACAGAGGAATGAAATAGCTAATGACATTTTTTTTCCCCCCATACATATCTTGTAGAACATATACACGGCATGTACATTCTAGCAAACACAACATCACAACATGTTCTGCATGCAGTTTTTACATTTTGTTTCTGTGTTTGTGTCAGTGTCCTCCAGGTTGAGCAGTTTCCAGTCACAATCCAAAAACTTACCATTAGGTTATTTGGCTTCCACTCAGTGTGGCCCTACTGCAGGGTCAGTTAGGTCCCCAAAAGCCCTGAGGCATGCTTGAGCACTTAGGTCAGCCATTCTCAACCGAGGTTCTGTGGAACCATAGGGTTCCTCCAGCGGTTCTAGGGGTTCCTTGGGCTGTGACTAACTGACCTCCCATCTGAAGGTGCCTGCATAGTTCTGGGTCCAATGACACCAATGATCATTCTAGCAGTCTATATGGGGGGCATTCTTCCCACTAACCCCTGTTTAATCCGTTTTAGCTGGGGCTCTCTGAGACGTGAAAATTATTTCAAGGGTTCCTGTGGGTAAAATGGTTGAGAAAGGCTGACTTAAACTAAGGCGTTGAGGGGCTTGGAGCATACCAGCACAGTGGCTTAGTGGTTAGTGCATCTGCCCTGCAGCACTGGGGTACTTGGTTTGAATCCCAGCAAGCACTACTTGTATGTTCTCCCAGGGCTTGTGTGGGTTTTCTCTGTGTACTCCAGCTTTCTCACATACACCAAAGAAATGCTGATAGGTAAATTGGCCGTAGTATGCATGTTAGAAAGGGACCTTAGATTGTATGTTCCTAAAGGTAGGGACTGATGTGAACAAACATCATTAAATTACCAGTGTTATATAAGTGCCCATAATAAATAAAAAGTGGGTTAGCATATTCTTTTAAGCCTTACCTATTTGGTCTATTTTCCTGATTCATTTTTTCACTATAGCCATCTTTCAAATTACAAACTAATAGGGTGGCAGAGATAATTCTGGGTGTATAAGGGACAGGGCCCCCTAGGGGTTACACATACATTATGTCCCACATATGTGGCGGACCTAAAGAACAAAGGGCCCTGGTGCAAGATTTTACCAAGCTGTAGAGGGACTACAAATCCCAGCTATACATCATACAGCAATGCAGATCAGCACCAGCTGTAGAGGACTACAAATCCCAGCAATACATTATACAGCAATGCAGAAAGACATCAGCTATACAGGACTACAAATTTAATCAATGCATTATACAGCAATTCAGAATAGTATAATAATTTAGTACACTCTGTGCTGCCACTCTGCTCCGGGGTGCTTCCTGATATTTCATTCTCAGCAGAGGCAGATGCAGAGGGTCTCACCAGGGCAGCATGTCTTCTCTAATGGGGGGGGCCAGATCTCAGTGGGACCCTGGTGTAGCCGCACCAGTAGTAGGCCACCCCTGTTCCACATACACTCTCCATAGCCGCATTGAGTCCTGGGAATTGGGGGTGTTGAAGAGCATTGAGGGTATATGAGCATTAGATGCCAGTGCTTTTTGGAATGCCCCTACCTCCTTTTTGTAACTTTTATATGTAGAGCATGCAGGGGTGTCTGTAGGGAATAATTGGATACACTGGCATGTGTTAGGGAAAAATCTGGGGTGATCTGCTCTACCACTCATGTCTAGGCAAGACTTTCAGTTCTTCTCTGATGGTTGATGTACACCACTGCCATGGCATTGCCTGCCTTAATACAGATTTGATTGGTGGAAACCACCTAACACACCCAAGCATCTGAGATGAAAGCTCTCCAAGACTCCTCAAGGGTTAATATCTCCACAGATGAGGGGGCACACCTTTATACAGAGAAAGGTATGTCTGGAGGTTTGGTTGACTTTTAGCAGCAGCCTTTGCGTGTAGACTGGGAGCAAAGCTTTGGAGGTCTGGACATGGCATAACGAATAGGACTTTACACTGCCAGCAGGGGAAGAAACTTTCCAGTCTGTGCCTGAGGCTTCTTCCACTAAGATCAATGCTCTTGCCACCAGTAGCATCCTTGATAATGGCATCAAGAGTTAGTCAGAAGAGATGTCCCTCGAAGGTCATTTGGATAAAAATTCTCCTTACATGCAGGTTCACCAGTCCAAAGTGTTCTATGCATGTGTATTGACAGAAGACCCATGCGAGAGATGAAATGGGAAACTTCCAGGGGAATGTCACAACTGAACAATAAAGCTTCAGCCATTTGCTCCACACCTTCTGTAAACAGGGCATCAACCTTAGCAGTGGCAACCAGTCAACAAAGACTTTGTCACATGCATCCTCCATCAGTTTGGTGGGTACTTTAAGGTGGGACACAGATGGATCCACAGTTGCAGTTTACCACTTTTGTAGAAAAACCTCCTCAAACGGGTACAAGGTTATGTGTGCAGATTTTCTGTGGTCAGATGGAAAAAGTGCCACAGATTCCTCCATCTACGCTAAACTGTGTGGATGGAGAAATCTCCCGCTGGGCCAAGCTTCAGTATCTTGCTAGTCGGTCCCACTGGCTCTCACAACACCTGAACAATGCCTGCATCCAATCAGATTGTTCAGGTATTTTGACAGCCAGCGGAGCCAACTAGCAAGATACTGAAGCTTGGCCCAGTGGGAGATTCCTCCATCCACACAGTTTAGCGTAGCTGGAGGAATCTGTTGCACTTTTCCCATCTGACCATAGAAAATCTGCAGATACTCATATAGATTATCGCCAACTTTAAGCTATTCAGAGTCAGTCTCTGCAGCTGATGGTTCAGAAGCCACTAAAGCTGTGGGTGAAATCAGAAAATCTGCAGTGGAAGGTGCAGGAGCAAGTTTGTGGCTTTTGTGGTCAGGGTCATCAAATAACTGTGATTTGGGCCATAAAATCTAGTATGACTGTAGTAAAGACCTCCGGAGAAAGTGCAGAGTAACCAACCACACCCTTGACACTGTATACTGGGACAAAGGGAGCAGAGCACATAGCACTCCACCCAACTGATGTCAGTGCAAAGTCCCACAGCATTAACCCCTTCCTTGGAGAAAAATGGTGGGAAACAGGCCACACTGGATAGCTGCAAATCAAAGAGTCAAACTCTAGCAGCGATGTGGAGAGCAGTCTTTTTCCA